GGGTTTCACCGTGTTAGCCAGGATGGTCTCGATCTCCTGACCTCGTGATCCACCGGCCTCGGCCTCCCAAAGTGCTGGGATTACTGGCGTGACCCTGTTTCAACCTACAGGAGTCAGAGGCCACCTAAAGAGTGCATGGATAGGAGGAGAAAACACCACTGAGGAAGACGGATGAGACACGTACCACACCCTCCATTCCCACTGCGGGCTCTCCACCCACTGCAGGCTCAGGTGGGGGCCAAGATAACTTATGCTTTGTGGTGTTGGAAGTTTTGACTACTACCTGGGACATATATCTTTTTTTTTTTTTTTTTTGAGATGGAATCTTGCTCTGTTGCCCAGGTTAGAGTGCAATGGCGCCATCTCAGCTCACTGCAACCTCCGCCTCCCAGGTTCAATCAATTCTCCTGCCTCAGCCTCCCAAGTAGCTGGGATTACAGGTGTGTACCACCACGCCCAGCTAATTTTTGTATTTTCAGTAGAGACAGGGTTTCACCATGTTGGCCAGGCTGGTCTTAAACTCCTGACCTCAAGTAATCCACCCACCTCAGCCTCCCAAAGTGCTGGGATTATAGGCGTGAGCCACCGTGCCTGGCCTAGATATCTTAATCCATGAACTGAGACTGGTTTTCATGGTTAAGGGACTTTTTATTTGGAGCGGCCAGAAAAATCAGTGACACCTGGCAGAGATTTCATTCAGAGACAAGAAAGAACTCGCCCACATTCAGTTTACAAGTACAGCAGGCATGGTGGTTCGTGCCTGTAATTCCAGCACTTTGGGAGGCTGAGGTGGGCAGATTGCCTGAGGTCAGGAGTTTGAGACCAGCCTGGCCAACATGGTGAAACCCCATTTCTACTAAAAATAACAAAAATTAGTCGTGGCCTGTAGTCCCAGCAACTCAGGAGGCTGAGGCATGACAATTGCTTAAACCTGGGAAGCAGAGGTTGTAGCAAGCCGAGACAGCGCCACTGCACTCCAGGCTGAGCGACAGAGCAAGACTCCATCTGAAAATAAAAAACAAAAAAACCCAAGTGCAATCACAGGAGAAAAATAATACTATCTCATGATTATACCCCATAAATCCTATTTATTTATGTAAAGTACTGGCTACCCACTAAGGGAGGAGACCACCCCTCATATTGTCTTATGCCCAATTTCTGCCTCCAAAGAAAGAAGAAGTAAAAACTAAAAGGCAAAAATGAAATCCACAGGCAGACAGCCCAGTGCCACACCCTGCGCCCTGTAGTTAAAGATCGACCCCTGACCTAATCGGTTGTGCTATCTACAGATTACAGACATTGTATGGAAAAGCACTGTGAAAATCCTTGTCCCGTTCTGTTCCATTCTAATTACCGGTGCCTGCAGCCCCCAGTCACGTACCTCCTGCTTGCTCAATCGATCACGACCCTCTCACGTGCACCCCCTTAGAGTTGTGAGCCCTTAAGAGGGACAGGAATTGCTCACTCGGGGAGCTCGGTTTTTGAGATGTGAGTATTGCCGGTGCTTCCAGCCGAATAAAGCCCTTCCTTCTTTAACTCCGTGTCTGAGAGGTTTTGTCTGCTGCTCGTCCTGCTTCACCACTACTTTTAATACGCTGCTTAACTAAATTTGCTAATATTTTATTTAGGATTTTTGCATCTATATTCTTAAGTGTGATTAATAGATTATTTTCTTGTTCTTGTCAGCTTTAGAATCAGTTACACTAATTTCGTAAAAAAGATCTGGGTAGGTTTTCCCCTTTTCTATGCTTTAATATAAGGACTGTATGTTTGCTGATGATTTTGTGAAACGTGTCTCTGAAACCATACTTGTCTCTATGACTGGCAACTTCAGGGGACAGGAGAGTGGATAAATAATCTGTAATTTCATTTCAATACAGATAAATTATCAATTGCCTGGAAGCTAGCAAATGAGTAGGAGCATCATTATCCCCTGTATTGTGGGATTCTCTTAGGACACCTCAGGCACCATATATAGCCCTGGGCTCATGGTTGAGTAAGAACACTAGTGTTGGCCGGGGCGGTGACTCACACCAGTAATCCTAGCACTTTGGGAGGCCGAGGCGAGTGGATCATGAAGTCAAGAGATCGAGACCATCCTGGCTAAAAAAATTAGCCGCGCATGGTGGTGCGCACCTGTAGTCCCAGCTACTCGGGAGGCTGAGACAAGAGAATTGCTTGACCCCAGGAGGCGGAGGTTGCAATGAGCCAAGATTGCACCACTGCACTCCAGCCTGAGTGAGAAAGCAAGACTCCATCTCAAAAAAAAAGAATACTAGTGTTAGTTTGGATATTAAAATTTTTGTAAAAGTAAAAGCTGAATTTTTCTTTCTTTTAGGGTAAAAAATAAATAGAAATTGACAAAAAAGAAACATTGCCTTCCATACACTGGTTGGACCTCTTATGCACCCCATCTTTGCAGAGCACTGCTCTAGAGAGTGGAGTGAACATGATGGGCAGCTGTAGCAATGCCAGCAATCCTCTCAGGCCTTTGTGGGGAAAGGAAGAGCAGAGAAAGGGGGATAGGTTTGTGCAATGGCCGTGTCAGGTATTTTTTAACCTGTGGGAGGCAGCATATTATGCATTTTCAACCTTGTCTAATTATAAGGATTACTGAGCACACCTGTTAAAAGAGATTCCCAGACTTCTGACCAGACTTTCTGAATCAGAATCTCCCAGGAGGAGTGCCTGAGACCCTGCGTTTTTCACAAACAGCCCCGAGAGAGTCTTGTGAATAGGCAAGTTTGGGGAATACACAAAAGGAGAATAAACACGGGCTTTGCAGTCAGACCAGGGTTAAATAACGACTCAGTCTTTAGCAGTTGTGTGGCTTCAAGCACGCCATTTAATCTCCTTATGCCTCCTTCCCTTATTTAGAAAAGGGAGCCCATCATAGGGCAGGGCAGGTGTAAGGATTAAATGAAAGGATGTACCACACTGGGCACAGGGCCCGGCACTCAGTAGATGGTGCTCTTTATTCTGGACAGGGTTCTGGGAGAAGACATTAACTTACATTACCAGCCTACAACACATTCGACCTTCAGTCCTGACGCTGAGATGAAGGGACAGTACCTCTATTTTTCTTGCTTGTTCAGCATCTGTTCCCCATTTTTCTGGTAACAGCCCATGGATTTTCCCGGAGAACCACCACCACCTCTCTTTTCAGTTTTCGTGGTTTGGGTGGATGGATTTAACCCCTTCCACGTCTAGGGGCAGGAGTGACTTAGGTCTGGCCAATTTTCAGGCTCCATTCCCCGTGGGCAATGTGATTGGTTCAGAATAAGAACCATGACCCAAACTAGTCCAATGAGACTCAATCTTGGGACTTCCACTAGGGCTCAGAGCCTGCTGCTGACCTGCCGGCCACAATCTTGCCACAAGATGGGCAAGAAGGAGAATAAAGCTCCCCTGACCAGAGGTTTATGCAGCAACAGAAGAACAAACATGTGGCAAGGATGGGACCAAGTCTTGAAGATATTTTCAAGCCCTGAATCTAGATAGACTGAAGCAGTACTATCCCAGGTCTTTTCAGTTATATGAGTGAATAAAAATTTTCGCCTAAGACAATTTGCTTTAGATTTTTCTGTTACTTGCATTGAATCGGGTCTCGACAATGATTTTTAAGGCATTTCTTCTATTTTAGTCTCCAGCTTACTGTGAGGTCATGGGAGCCCTTTTCTTGTATGATACATTTCCTAACTTTACCAGAAGAAGCAATCCCATAGCTAGCATTTAGACTTGATGGGTACTGGAAATCGCTGAAGCATTGTCAGTCTCTGGGAATGAGAAAACCCAAATCTTTTCCATCTAAATGGATTCTTTTTTTTTCTCAGAGTGGGAAGGAGCTGATATTTAGGTAGGACTCTGTTTTTGCTCTCCAAACTCCGAGAAAGGTTGTCATGAAAGGGCAACACAACAATTAAAAGCTGTTGGGTATGAGAATGACAAGTTTGGCTGGCATGCAACACAGTGCAGCTGAGATGAGTATTCTCGATTAATGGGCAAACATGACACAATTGTCTCTTTCAAGCCCAGAGTGCTAATATATAATACACAATCAGAGGGCATTGTACATTGGAACAGAACTCATTAGCCAGTGCCAGTTCTTTGCCCCCAAGAAATAAAGTAGTATGTTGTCTATAAAAGCCATAATTTGAGTCTTTTCAATTTGCAGCTACAGACCAGGTGAGGGATTTCAATTTGGGAAGAATCCAAATGGAACCAGGAATGGGAATTCCTGTTGGAATTCATCAAGGCAAAACCAGTGGTTGGTAGAATGAGGAATTGGTGGGGGGTGGGGGGGAAGCGAATAGGATGGGAAAGTGGAACGAGTTTGACCTCCCATGCCTCCCACCAGGAGTCCCAGTCAAAGAACTTAGGCAAATCTGGCTGAGGCAGTATCTGGCCTTTGTGAGGGACATCCTAGAATGGACATGTCCCTGTGTGACTGCCCAGTGAATACCAAATGCGTTGGGTCATTTTATTCAAACCTGGAGGACTTGGCTGCCCAAGCACATGCTCTGCGGATGAACTCACTTTTGCTTTAGTCCATATGGCTGCTGAAGTCTGAGCAGCTCAGACAGCAAGGGACAGGAGAGAGGAGAACACAGGGCGGGTGATCAGAGAAATCCAAGGAAAGGATTGAATTACTGTCAGATGAGAGGGTGTGGGAGCTTCTGGGACAGATTGATGGGACAGTCTAACTGGCTGGCAGGGAGCTGTGAACTGTCACAGTCCACTGTGGTGAGCCAGCTGCCTTGTGTATGGCATGCATGCAGAGTGCAGGCTAACTAGGCAGGAGGAATCTTCACATTTACCAAAAACACCCAGCAGTCCACCAGCCCACCCAACCGGAAAACAAAGCATGCCCTTTAGACTCCAATTCCCCCAAACCAAAGAAATATTTACAATGTTATCCAGTTTCTTGTTTCATAGGGCATTTCTCTATCAGTCTTTCACAAACACTTATTAAGAGCCCTCTCAACGTCAGGCACTGTGTGGGGTACTGGAGACATGGAGGAAATATGTACAGTACTTCCCTCTAAGGAGTTCACCATCTAGTAAGCAATTACAAAAAAGGAAAAAATACAGTAAGAACTGGCATGAAAGAGAGTACAAGAGTGGACAAAACAGACAAAAATTCAGGCAAGTTACTTTCTAGTGGTGGTCAGGGAAAGGCTTTCTGAGAAGATGGTATATGAGCACAGACATGAAAGATGTGAGCAAATGTGCTTTGTCAATTTCTGGGATTATGCTTGTAGGTTTCATCATTGTTTCTGCTGCCCTCAAGGAGATTGCAAAACATTACACATGCACACACAAGTGCACCCACACAGACACATATTTACTTTTATTTACGAATATAATACCTCTGCCAAACTGTCTAAAAGTTGTGTTCCACTGATGACATTCCTGGTAATGATAATAGGTTTGAAGGGAGCAAACCATCTATGATCTCCTGCTCTGACCTCCAGTGATCAAGGACATGCCGACATCTGCTAAGCCTCTGGCTCAGATTGATGGGTAAATCTCTGGTCATGGGAGCTTTATTCTCATTCCAAATGAAGCTAAATGGTCCATAAAATTAAAGTCCTGACCTTTTCATATCATATTCTACCAACCAGATGGAACAACATGCTCAAAAAAAGAAAGACAATCAAGATGTAAAAATATACACACAAAACGTACGCAGAAAAGACAAACATTAAGTTATTACTAGATCTGAATGGCCATGGGGGATATTGTTACCATGGTGAGGTCATGGATAAGAGACTGGATGGGATGGGAGGAAACTATTGGATGGGCATAATGGAATCTGTGGCATTCAAAGGGTGGTTTCTGTGATTAAAGACACAAACTCTTGAGCTGCATGTAGATCACAACTTGCATAATCTGGTGGCTATCTTCTGGGCACAGTTCCTGGAACAGCGCCTGCCACATGGTAGATGCTCAATAACTGTGTACTGAGTGACTAGTGAACTGAACAATCAAATGGTCGCTAATGAAGTTTCTTTTATTTCAATTAATTTTATAAAAAGATAATATGTTGACATAGCTCAACATTTGAGTCCAAAAGGATGTTGCCAAGTCTTGATCTTATCTCATTACCTACCCATCCAGTTCCCACATCGTACACATCAGACTCCTCCCTTAACCATTGTTATTAGTAGTTTCTTGTTTATCCTTCCAGATTTTGTTTATGCAAATCAAATACAAATATATTTTTATTTTGTTATGCAAAAGATAACACAACACTTTGATATCAACCTTGCTTTTTCACTTAATAATGTCACTTAGAAATTTTTCCACCCTCAACTTGGAGAGTGCCTTCCATTATTTTATTTTATTTTATTTATTTATTTATTTATTTTGAGATGGAGTTTCGCTCTTGTTGCCCAGGCTGGAATGCAATGGAGCGATCTCAGCTCACTGCAACCTCCGCCTCCGAGGTACAAGTTATTTTCCTGCCTCAGCCTCCTGAGTAGCTGGGCTTACAGGCATGCGCCACCATGCCCAGATAATTTTGTATTTTTAGTAGAGATGGGGTTTCTCCATGTGGGTCAGGCTGGTCTCGAACTCCTGACCTCAGGTGATCTGCCCACCCTGGCCTCCCAAAGTGCTGGGATTACAGGTGTAGGCCACCGCGCCCAGCTGTCTGGCATTATTTTTACAGTTCTCATTATTTTCATTTGCATGGGCATTCCAAAATTTATTAAACCAGCCAATATGGATGGACATCTGTGCTGTTTCCAATTCTATCAAAAAAACAAAGGTCCAGGCTGGGCACAGTAGCTCACGCCTGTAACCCCAGCAATTTGGGAGTCCGAGGTGGGTGGATCACTTGAGGTCAGGAGTTCAAGACCAGCCTGACCAACACGGTGAAACACCGTCTCTACTAAAAATACAAAAATTAGCTGGGCATGGTGGCAGGCGCCTGTAATCCCAGCTACTAGGGAGGCTGAGGCAGGAGAATCGCTTGAATCCAGGAGGCAGAGGTTGCAGTGAAGCCAAGATCATGCCACTGCACTCCAGCCTGGGCAACAGAGTAAGACTACGTCTCAAAAAGAAAAAAAAGAAAAAAATAGATAGCATAAGTTCTCAAAAACAGAATTGCTGGGTCAAAGAGTCCACGGACTGGTAATTTTGGTTTACTATTATTATTATTATTATTTTGAGAGACTGGGTCTCACGCTGTCACCCAGGCTAGAGAGCAGTGTTATGATCATAGCTCATTGTAACTTCAAATTCCTGGGCTCAAGTGATCCTTCTGCCTCAGCCTCCCAAGTAGTTGGGACTACAGGCACATGCCCCCACCTGGCTAATTTTTTATGTTTTTTCTAGAGACACCCAGGCTGGTCTCGAGGTCCTGGCCTCATGCGCTCCCCCTGCCTCAGGCTTCCAAAGCACTGGGATTATAGGCATGAGTCACTGTGCCTGCAGGTAATTTTACTTACATATACAAACATATAACCAAATTGCTTCCAAAGGGGTTTAACTAATCTATACACTCAGCAGCAAGGTAAAAGAATCCCTGTTTCCCCACAGCCTCGCCAATAGTTTTATCAAACTTAAATTTTTGCCAATCATAGGTTAAAAATCAAATCTCAGTAGGGTTCTGCTTTGTGTTTCTCTTGCTGTGAGGCAGAACACCTTTTTATTTCTAGGAAGGGACTATTCATACCTTTCTTATGTTTATATTATGTTAGTAGTCTTTTGATACTTGGCTTATAGGAGCACATTGTATATACAGAGATTAGCCTTTTCTTTGTCGTGCATGTTGCAAACACTTTTTCCGGTGGTGTGTTGGTAAATAACAATGGCTCTCTGGTAAAAATGAACTCAGGTTTATAGCATTTGCCAGTTTCCATGGTGTAAATAGCCCCATGATGGACAATTTCAAGCTACCAACGTTATGTCACTAAATGTGGAGTTCAGAAGAAATGTGCGGCAGCACACAATTATATACACAATACAATACAAACACACATTTGCATTCGTACAACACAAACTTAACAATAGATGTGACCAGGCACGGTGGTTTACAACTGTAATCCCAGCACTATGGGAGGCCGAGGCAGGTAGATTACATGAGGTCAGGAGTTTGAGGCCAGCCTGGCCAACACGGTAAAACCCTGTCTACTAAATACACAAAAATTAGCCAGGTGTGGGGCACACACCTGTAATCCAGCTACTTGGGAGGCTGAGGCAGGAGAATCGCTTGAACCCAGGAGGCGGAAGACGCATTGAGCCGAGGTCACCCCACTGTACACCAGCCTGGGCGACAGAGTGAGACTCCATCTCAAAAAAAAAAAAAAGAAAAGAAAAACCCCCAAAACAATAAACCTCAAGCATTAATGATAGCAAAATGTAGTTAAATAATTAGGAAGTGATGAGTTTTTCAGTATTTATTACTTTTGATTCTAACATACTTTATTTAATTATGTTTCTATAATTTAATTTTTAATAATAACTGTGTTTGACAACCAGCTTGCAAAATTTCTGAAAACATAACAATCAGTTCATATGAGCCAGTGCAGGCCAACTCCAAAGCACCTTTTTTTCCCAGTTTGTTGATTGTCTTTTGACTTTCTTTCTTGTTTGTTTGGTTTTTTTACTTTCTTTCTAAAGACGTTTTTCACCATACAAAAGCTTTAATTTTGATGCAGTTGCATTTATCAATCATATATTTTATGGACTCAAAATTTTGTCTGTTTTTGTTTTTGTTTTTCAGGCAGGATCTCATTCTCTTGCCCAGGTTGGAGTTCCATGGCTCAATCATGGCACACTGCACCCTTGATCTCCTGGGTTCAAGCAGTCCTCCCACCTCAGTCTCCTGAGTAGCTGGGACCACAGGCACTCGCTACCATGCCCAGCTAATTTTTTAATTTTTTTGTAGAGATGGAGTTCCACTATGTTCTCCAGGCATGGGCAATCTAAAAACAAATAAACAAAAACAAAAAATAAAATGAGATAGGGAGGGGAAGCTCTTTATAAACTATTAGAATAATTCTAATGTATCTCTCCAATAATGATAAATACTTTGGCCATTAATTTTTTTTAAGCTGCATCATTTAAAGATGGCTTTACAAATCAGTGGGAAAAGATGGACTGTTCAACAAATGTTGTAAGGAAACTGGATAGGCCTCTGGAAAAAATGAAAGTAGGAGCCCCAACTCCCACCATACACAAGGATACGATCTAAATGGAAAAAAGATCTAAATGTAAAAATGAAACCATGAAAGTATTAGAAGAAAACATGGGAGGATTCTTATAATCTTGGAATGGGGAAGGTCTTCCTAATCATTATTCAAAATTCTGAAAGGCTAGGTGTGGTGGCTCATGCCTGTAATCCCAACACTTTGGGAGGCCGAGGTGGGAGGACTACTTGAGGCTAGGAGTTCGAGACCAGCCTGGGCAATAGAGCAAGACTACATCTCTATTAAAGAAAAAGGGTTCTAACTGTCTTCAGTAGATAGTGTTGTTCCCACACTACAGATGAAGGAACAGAGGCTGGGAAAAGTTAAATCAATCATGGAGATATGTATTTCCCGCTCCTAGCTCTTATTGCTCTTATTTTCTGGTACCCATTCTTCTAGCATTGGCACCTCCCCACTTGGTACACTGTTTCCCAAAGAAGATTTTCTGATAATGAGTAGGAAGAAAGACCATATAAACATATGGAGGCTGCTTATTATCCTCTAAATAGCCAAGATCCTAAATTAGATCCGTTCTACTCCTGCTCATCAGCC